GGGGCGGGGGGCGCGCGGGGAGCGGGGGGAGCGGCGGCGCCGGCCACGGCCACGAGGCGGGGAGGGCAGCGCGGCCCGGCCATGCGGCGGGGAGCGGAGGGCGCCGGGGGCCCGGCGGCGGCGGGCGGGCCCGGTGGCGGACACGCGGCCCCCCCCCATCCCCTCCCGCTCCCGGCATTCCGCCGCAGCAGCGCCGGCAACGTGGTCGGTTCCCGGCGTGCGGCTCCCCCGGGAGCGCGGCCCCGCCGCCCCCGCGGGGGCCCTTCCCCGGGCCGCGGCCTGCGCTGCCCACGTGTGCGCGGCCGCGGCTCCCCCGCGCAGGCCGCGCCGCCTTTCTCTGCCGACTCATGGCGGCGGCGGGGCCGGGGCCGAGCGCCGCTCTGCCCGGCGCGGTCGCTGCCCCGGTTAGGGGCACGGCTGCGGAACGGGGGTCCCCGAAAAGGGAAGCGGAGGGGCTGCGCTGTCCAAATCGCGCTTGTAACCCTCTGCTGTCGTCAGCAAAGGTTGAAACTGCGGAACACCATTTCCTCGCCTGTCGGGATGGGTGTTGCGCTCCTCTCGTACCTGCTTCAAGTGAATCGGGAGTAGGAGAAAACCACAGAAGTTTTCACTAAGCGTCTTGTTTGGAAAAGACTAAATCTTTTTCTACCTGTCTCTGTTAACTCTGAAATCACACTGCCAGATGTGCCATCAGATTCCCAATTACTGTACGTGCCAGTGTTTTGTAAGAACTGTTACTGCCTAGCATGATGATTCATCAGAGTTATTGATCTTTGGAAGATGGACAGCTCTGCAATTTCTACCTGGAAAGCTGTCATCTTAATGCGAAGTATAGAGGACAAGTTAATCGTGCCAGGTAGAAGTCCGTGTTCGGATTGTTTGGTGGTTTGTCATTGTAGTCATGGACATAAGCAAAGCTTAAGGAAATCCAGGACAGTGTCGCTGTCTGCATTTGCCTCGTGCGTTATGACACAAAACTGGTCACATCGCTCCTTTGTGTGAAGGTTGCACTCTATTGTGATGCCTTCTGAGATAACGATCCTGAGAAATAAACCGAAAAATGCAAAACTGCAAGGTTGAATGTTCCTGTTCGAGTCTCCTGTGTAAGGGGTGTCCAGATTCATTACCGGGCTCGTCAGTCGTGAAGGTGTGTGATTTGCCAGAGTCAGCAGCAACGAGGCAGCTGCCCAACACAAGCAGGGGGCCCTTGCAACTCCTGGGATGATTTTTTTGAGGGAGAGAGTGCGAGTGTATCATTAGCTTGTCCACGCAGTTGCAGGGTAATGGGGTAATGCTGAAACACTCAGAATTGTCCTTGGGCCCAGCACAGTTGTCTCTGTATTCCCAAAGGTGTTTAAAAAATGGAATTTGTTAGTGGTGTGTTCTGGGACGCTTGGCAGCAGCGACTGGTTCCAGCAGTGCCCTCAGTGCTGCTGCCTGGCTCTCTTCTCCTGGGCCATTGTTTCTTTTGCTGCCTGTTCATTAGCAGAAGAGAAAACGTGTAAAATAAACACGGCTGGTGAGCTCCCACGAGAGGCAGGCTGGCAGCTGACCTTGCCTGGCAGCCCTGCACCCAGGTACCTTCTTGTAGAGTTTGCAGGCTCGTGTTGTGTCTTCATTTCATTGGGTAGAGGATTTGTTTTGGCAGACACTTAGCAAAAAAGATCTGGAGCGTGAATTTGTGTGAAAGAATCAGCTGGTGAGGTGAGTTCTCATGTTGTGCTGTTGTAGTGACCTCCAGGAGGATCACCCAAGGAAAGTGACTCTTTTTCAACGTCTGCAGTGCATTGAGAGCTGCTGAACTCTGGAAAGTCACTACTGGAAGCCTTTGGTTTCTCAGCAGAGCTTACAAACCTTTGCTTGTAACACAAGCAGCATTCCCAGTGCAGTGCTTGTGTGCTGGAGATACTGAATGTTCCCAGCGCTGATCCGCCAGAGGTAGGAAGGAGACCAGAGAGCATACTGAAGACAGCTCTGTAAAGATAAAGGGATCCCTCTATGATTTGTTTTACAGGCTTTGAGAGCCCTAATTTTTTTTTATAATGATTGTATTAATTATAGACCCACAGAGTAGATTTAATGGACAAGACCTTCTCCTTAGGTGTCCATGCGTTCTGTAATGGCCTGCGTTGGAATTGGTGCTTGTAAAAGTAAAAGCATTGAGCTCAGGGAAGACAGAGCCACCTGCAAAATCTTAGTGAGTTTCTGCTGTCTGTGTTGAAATATGGATAGGGAAGAGCTTAACAAATCCACCTCCAGGTAGTCAAAACACCAGCTTGTTTCAAACTGTTTGACTTGCCACTGGCTGGGCAAGTTGAGTGCATTGGGGGCCTGACACAGGGACTGAAGAACAGGGTTGTTTTTTCTTGGATTAGGATTTACCTTTAGAAGTTTGTGTCTTACCTACCTGCTGCAGTATTTTTATGCTTGAAGTTGGCAGTGAAGCCTATAATATAATAGGAAGTTAGAGCAAACTTTTCTGCTTTTTCAGGGAGGAGGGCTCTTGAAGTGAAGCCTCTCCTTGCGTCTTAACCTCCCAAAAGCACAACGGCTTTGGCAGTAAGTGGGGCAACCATTAGGTCGAGTTAGACAGCAGTGATACTGCTGATGCTGTGAGTGGAGGCTGAGGCTCATCTGGAGTGGCACACCAGAAAATCTTCATGGTCTCTTGACAAGATGCACGTTACCTTTTTATTCATGAGTGTTGTGTTCAGGGTGCAAGGTGCAAAGAGGAGAGGGGGGATCCTTTGAGATACACGTGGTCCTGTCCTGTGTGGCAAGGCTTGTACTTGACACTGCTGACTGCTTGTGAGAGACGCTGCAGAGCGGTAATGATGCCTCGTTTTTACTCTCTAATGATCTAGTAGCAAGGTCTGTGTGACCATGCCCTTGTTATTACATGTTCTCTTCTTATCATGTAAATAAATGCAGCCAGCAGCCTGACACGATTGGTAGTGTGTGTGTGTCTGCGGTAGCGAAGGAAACATTTTCTGGCAAAACCAGCTTTGCACAACTGGCTATAAACCAAATTCAAAGTGTTTTCTCCAATTCTTCTGTAGATGAGAAGTGTGGCTTTCAGTTAAGACAGCTCAACCTTCTGGAACATGTTGTACTCCTCCGCTGTGCCCTGCACCAGGGCTGGTGCTGATGCAAGCTTTGGTGCAGACAGGTGTTAACAGCACCCCGTTTTAAAAACCTGCTGGATGTATTTCAAGAAATGTTGCATCAAGGCACTTGGCACTTCTTTATTTTTAAAGTCATTTACATCTTGAAAGTAAGAACATGCAGGTTTTAATGACTGGCACTGCAATCGCTGAGCTTTGCCTGCACTAACTTTTTAAATTCTTACAAGTTCCTGGCCAGGGAAAGTGGTGTATTTCCTAGTGGAGATGCAGGAGATGCTTTGATTTCTTGAGTAGTTTCCTGCATGCCGTTTGGCAAACGTGCTGGGTGGATAAGCAGTACTTTCCAGAAGGCACACCTTAGTTGCTAGCAGCAAGCACCAGGGGTGAGCTGACTGTTGTTGAGAGTGCGTGCTGCTTTATGCCTGAGCAGAGGCTGACTTGGCTGCTGGTACTGAGGAGAAGGCAGGGGAAGATTCATTAGCATCTCACCCCTCGCTTACTAACTCCCCATAGGGCTTTCCTTGAAACCAGCCTCCAATGCAGGAGATAAGATGGATGGGAAGCTTGTTTTACCATTGGCATTTCTTCACGTTCAGAGTAGACACACATATCTGCTTGCTCAGGTATCCAGCTTGGTAGTCCTGCACACACCTATTTCCAAAGTGTTGGGCAATTCTCACTCTGTCGTGGCACGTAATTGTGGAGCTCTTCTGGCTGTTGCAACAGAGCTGCTATCGCAGCAGGAGGCCTCCCCCCACTGCCCCAAGTTTCCTCTCCAAACTACTATTTTGTTCCAATCCCACAACTCACGTTCTAGTAACTCTTCCCATCTTGTTGGGGAGGATGAGGGTAACTGGAACTTGTTGCTCTAAAAAAACGTGAGGCTTAGTGTTTTCCCTCCCCTGCATACCTTTGCCCTTCAGCTTTGTGCTGGACCTTTGCCCTGTTCTGCACTGTTTGTTTCGGGAAGAGAAGGCTGGGGAATGCGGCACAGCTCCTGGGAGCTGACTCACTGGCCCTGGTTGCTGGGCTTTAGTGCCTGCTTCTGCTGAGACCTCCAATTCCAGATTGCCAGGTCCAGGGCATCGCTGAAGGATGGTGTCCAACCATCTCCTTACCCTCACAGCCCTTCTTTTAAACTTTATATTGCTCATGGTGCCATGCAGGTTTCCACCAGGGTTGCATGTGGGATCACTGGATTGGGCAGCAGAAGGACTTTGTTCAGATGGGAAGACAAATCAAGTCTGGAAAGCAGGACTGGGAGTGGGAGCACTGGGGCTTCAATGCTGTGCTCTCCCTTCCAAATTATGCCACCGGATCTTTTTGCTGTGCTCGAACAGGGTGAAATTATCTTCAGGGCAGTGCCAAATGCAGGCTTGGGTAGAGTTAGGTTGCTTTTTACATACTTGAGACTATAATGGATCTCCAACGCTGTCTCTGTGGTTGTGCTTGTTTGGCAAAATAAGGAACAGGCATTTTAGTAGAAAGCTGTGCTTGCTGTTCAGACCAGGCTGAATGTTTTGATCCCGACAGTTATTACAAATGCTCTTACCCTAGGTCC